GACTATAATAGATGAGGCAATCTTGATACCTTATTATCAGATATTAACTTTACCTAAAAGAATGTTCATTTTTTCAGTGATAAAAGAATATACAATCAAGAGGACAGGGATGGAAATTAGCCTAGCAACATGACCTTGAACAAGTTCTCCTTTGACCTTTGCCTTGTGAGTTTTCATGCTGAAGAGGCAGAGGATGGTGTATAGGGTTGCCCTGCGAGGTCAGTGGCATAATAGAAGTCTCAGCAGTGCTCATGGCCCACGGTGCTCATGGCAGTCAGTGTGAGCCGCCCTCGTGTTGTGCTTGGTTGGACACAGGTTGGGCCCTGCAGGCCTGTCCATATTTTCTCTGCTTGAGCAGCAGGCCAGCATCCCTGGCTCCGCATTTCTAAGCTCTGGTCCATGGGCTTAGCAGCGGCGGGATTGTCTTGTAGGTGAGGTATAGCCATGAATCTGGGATACTTCTCTTTTCAAAATTCTCCCTTTTGTGGAGCTCCAACTGCCTTTGAGCTGTTGCTAAGGACCTGCTTGGACTCTCAGATAGTTACCATAGGAACAGTGTGAATTTAGTCCCTATACCTAAAGGAGATAGGCAAATAGGAATAATTCCAAACAGAAGGTTGAGTCAAATATTTCAGGCAGTTTAGATAAAATGTCACGGGACTATCTTCTGTTCTTCTCAAACCCTTTCAAAGTAATAGTTGTGAGGAGACCTGTCTTATGTAGATGGCTTGGCAGTTTTAGGCTATTTCACTTATAAACAATGGTTTCTTGTTCACATCATAAAGATCCAGCATATGATATTTATTAATGGATCTTGTCTCTGTGAACAGGAAGTAAAAGCAAGACTTGTTTGAAAGAACAAAGTCCTCATCGGGTATTGGTGTGGTTTTCTCTGAATCATTTCGGCAAGGCTTTGCCTCCCACTTCATTTGACCACAAGGAAGTTGTTGCAGTGGAATTTTCTTGAATGGTCTCCATGGAGGCTGGTGGAAGGGAGGAAGAGGAGGGCGAGGAACTGTAACATCACGTTTAGAATTCAGACTAAGAAGAGTTAGGTTGCAGTTTTTGTTTAACAAACACTATCTCCTATACTAACTCACTGTGTCCTCTAACTCTCAAATGTGGGTACTAAAATCATCCCTGCTGTACAGATTAAGTCAATGGAGCTACGTGGCAGTAGAGGATAGGACCCAAACCAGCCCATCGAATTTGACTATTCTCTTAATAACCCATGGTGTGATAGATTTGTCCTTAAATAAATCATGACACTTTACACACGAGAGTGGAAGGCAATTACTTCTGTTTTCTACCAGGAACACTTTGAATGGTAAGACTACGTGTAAATGACAAAATAAAGGATAAATACAATTCTACTAAGACATTCCAGGCAATGACCTGTCTGATCATTTGATCAAAATAAAGCATTCACTTAATTTTTATCAGCTTTTCTGTCATTCAACTTGTTCTTCTTTGACAACTTAAAAGTGCTAAGAAAATGAGTTCAAGGAAAGATAACATATTTCAGCCATTTCTCCACCATTTACCAAATGAAAATCTGATAGTGTACTTAAAAGGAACAAGTCTTTTCATCATCAGTAAAAAGTGTATTATTATATTTTGCACCCACATGCTGCTTGGAGTCTTGAATGGATTCCCTTTAACATGTTATGTTTACTTGGAAAGCTATTCTACATGAGAACAAATTAATAGGAAGCCCATGTTAGACAGCCATGAATATCTTGTAATTTAACAAACATGTATTGAGGGCTTAATGTATGAAAGATATAGTATAGAGAACTTTGAGAGGTTAAAAACAATTTCAAATTAAGCTCTTGCCCTGCAGGGTCTTGTTTTTCAGTAGTGGCAGTAACACCAACAAGTATGTAAGCAGTAAAAAATAAGTGTGGGAAGGAAGGACTCCAGGAGGAAACTTCTGGCTGGAAAAGCAGAAAGATTTCATGAGAGATATAGGGGCCAGGTGTGGTGGTGAATCCCAGTGCTTGGGAGGCTGAGACAGGAGGATTGCTGTAAGTTTGAGGCTAACCTGGGCTACGGAGGGAGACCTTGTCTCAAAAACAGAAAAGAAAAAAAAGAAAAAAAGGAGTTACGTGCTAGCTCCAAGAAAGTATCTTTGATTTGGTATTCCAGTTCTTAACACAGTGCTGGGCACATAGGCACATATAAAGAGCTTGATTTGATAATTTTTAGATATATGAATAATTTGGAGCTAGGTGACAAGATATGAGAAGCAGGAGCAGATATGGAGAAGCTTACTCTTGGTCCAGCTTGATTAGGAAAACACTCATTGTCCATTTTCTGTGGGCCAGGCCCATGGCAGGTGGCAGAGTGGTGCGAGCCAACAAGCTGACCCAGAGAGGAGATGGGGTGAAGGGCACTGGAGGGTGGCAGCTGGGCGGTTGGAGGGAGGAGCAGAGAAGACTGCGGGAGCTGGGAGTGGCCCCGAGAAGTCTTGAGGGCTGAGAACTCGGAGAAATATCCCCCAAGGGGTAGTTTTAATTCTTTTAAGCAAATAAAGCAAATATTGGTGGATAGCTGATCATGGACATTTTGTTAATGTAAAAATAAACCTACTTAGACTTAAGAATACCACTTTATTCCATATATTATACTGTATATATTTTTCAGTATTCATAGGGGTTAGGTCTAGGGTCTCTAAGAATATAAAAATGCACATGCTCAAGTTCCTTATATGAAATGGGCTAGTATTAGTGTATAAGCTACATTCATCCTCCCATATACTTTAAATCTCTTCTAGATTACTTATACCTAATGCAATTTAAATGCAGTGTAAGTAATAGTTACTGTTAGAGAATAAAGCCCAGGCATGCTCAGTATTCTTCCCTCTGCCAAAACATCTTCAGTCCACGTTTGGCTAAATCTGGGGATATGGAGCTAGTGGATACATCGGGTTGGTTGCATTTTCTCTTGCAATGCACTGGGGTCTGGGGTTCCTTGTTACTTTGTTGTTTCCAAATAAGCAGTCAAGACCAGGAAAAAAACTTTCCTGTGATTCACCATAATGAGTTCTCAAGTGGCATCTGGACATGTCAACCAAATTGCAGCCTTGCTGCAAGGTTGATTTTTAATTTATGAATCTGAGTCCAGAATGATTTTAATCCAAATTTCTCCTTAAAATAGCCATGACAACTTGGAGGAAGTTGTTTAATTTAGTATATACAAGTGATATATTTACATATCTTTATATTGACTCCTATGTCTATATCTATAAGGCTTTCACACTACAGAAAGATGTTTTGGGGTTTGGACTCAACAGATCTGATTGTGCCACTTCTGAGCTATGTATTTTTAGGCAAAATGCTTAATTTGAACCTGAATTTCCATATCTATAAAGTTAGGAAATTCCTAACTCACTCATTGTGTCTGTGAGAAAAATGTAAGATCATCAGTTTATTTTATTTTATTTTATTATTATTATTATTATTTTTTTTTATGGAAGCAGGGATTGAACTCAGGGCCTTGCGCTTGCCAGGAAGCGCTTATTCCACTGAGCCATCTTCCTAGCCCCAAGATCATCAGTTTATTACTGAGCAATTTCTAGATATTTTCCACATAAGGAAACTAAGGGCCTGAGTGGTGAAGTTGCACACCCCCTGGCTAACGCAAGACTGTCACGAGCCAGCTGTGTGGCTGTGAATCACTGTCTGTACCACTCTGCTAGTTCATTTCTAAAGGTTTCTTTACAAAGTCCCTCTTGGTGACTCTTACTTCTTTATCAGCCATGGCATTTATTGAGGTAGGAATGGGATAGTAGTTTCATTTTTGTAAAGTTCAAGTAACAGCTATATGAATATAAGTCATCTAAACATTTCAGGGTCTAAACGTTTAGAGTGGCTAGAATTTTAGTAGCCATGTCTCAGGCTGATTATATAATATGTTCTATGGGGAAAATGTTCTAAAAAGATGAACTAAACCAGGATCATTTATAATCCCTAAAGATAATAAGTGGTTGGGATTTTAGTGAAATGAATGATTTTTATGTCCTTAGTTTTTAAACAGTTGCTCAACAGCTCAATATTATGACATAAGCAGCATCAATTTTTTTTTTTTTTCAGAACCAGGGATTGAACTCAGGCCCTTGCACTTGCCAGGGAAGTGCTTATTTCGCTAAGCCATCTCCCCACCCCCCCCTTTTTTTTTTTTTGAGATACCTGGGATTGAACTTAGGGCGCTATGTTTGCCAGGCAGGCACTTATTCTACTGAGCTATCTCCCCGGCAGCATCAGTACTTTACAGGCCATATGGACAATGCATCTCACTTCCATAAGTCTGTGGTGAAGGGTATAATTTTTAAGAAATGCGAAGTGCTGAACTGAAGATAATGTGGGCAGAGCTGGGATTCTTATTTGATCTTGTTTTGAGGAATAAATGATACATTTTTTCCTTGTGTGTATTGAATAGGTCCCACAACAATATTTAGAAGACCAAAGAAGCAGTCAGTGAGATCTTTTAATGAAGGATTGAGAACATTCCTGGGTTCTTTCCACTTCAGGAATCTCATATGTTTGCAGCTCTGAATCAGAGCCACTAAATTGCTTTTTACTTAGTTATCCTGGAATTTATCCAAAATGTCTTCCAAACATCTTTCCCCCAAGACAAATTTATAGAAACAAAACAGAAAAAGTGAAAATGATACCTACTCCTGATTGCCTGAGTTCAATCCCTGGTTCTGGAAAAAAAAAAAAAGTTTCCTGTTTGAGACAATTGTTACAGTAGAACGAAGAAGCTGAAGAAGTGAAGTTACAGGGGTTCCTTTGGCTGTGTTGACTTGGGCCTTGATATAGATGAAGGAACAGGAAGATTCTGGAAGGCCAGACTGTTGCTCGTGGAGGAGAGCTGAGCTATACAATCCCATTTGACTGGGTTTGTAATTGAGTATTACCCTGTGATTCTTACTGGTTTCAGAGATATGATTTTAACAGACTGGCAACTAATCCCTTTTATCTCTGGTTTATTCACAGGAGTTGGAGTAAGAACAGCGAGATGACTCCAGCCCGTCCTCACTCCTTGTGTCTTCTTATACTTTATTTGGTAAGAAAAGAGTGTATTTGTCTCTGCTTATTTACCAGAATATTTTCTATCATCCTTCTGTAGTGTGCCAGAGAAAGAATTATTTCCATTACTTAACAAAAAGGTGACCTATGAAAATGAAATGGTTGTATAGAATGGACATGGTGTTCTGATGTTCTATTTCCAGTGTAATGGCTACAAATCATATGTCTGTCCTTAGGCTGGAGGAGACACTTTTCCTCAGCCCTTACAAGCCAGTACTACTTAATGAGCAAGGTTTAAGACCAATATGTTCTTCAGGGATACCTTAGGGAATCTGGAAAGAAATTGTACTGATACATGTATTAGCCTTTAGCCTTTGATCTTGACTTTTTTATTTTGACTATGAAAAGTTACTACCAAAACACATCAAGAAAAATCATTTTCTCTATTTTTAACTCTTGTGTACTCCCCCCACCCCCACAAATGGGGCTTTTGGGTTAAATTTATCTTCAGTCATTTGTTGAGTCGACTGTATAGGCTGCTAGGCTTCCAGAGCTGAGTGGGAAGGAGAGTCCCAGCCTGTGGAGAGAGAAGAGTGCATCCTTACTCTATCCAGGAAGCTCCTGAGATCTGCAAAAGTTGCCAATTTTTCTTTTTGTGTGTGTGTGTAATGAAGGAGGGTTGTGGAAATGTATTTGCTTTTTCCTTAGAAGGAAACTCCTAAATCCTCATGATTTCCATCTTGTTTCCTTTCTTCTGGGATCTAAAAACAATACACCAAGTCCTAGAAAGTCCCCTGGAGTCCACATAGTTCAAGATATTTTTAGAGAGTGAAATATAGCCAAACTTGTGAAACTATAAAAGCCTTCTTCTTGGGGTGACAACTGCAATTCAGGCTTCATGGACTGTGGGTATCCCTGAAGCCCATGGGTGCAGAGCTTGTCCTTGGGCTTGTGTAAGGGCTGGGCCGGGCACCCCATTCTATCTATGTTCTCAAGTGTCCTTTCCTGCCTCCATTATCATAGGATGGTTATGAAATCAGGCCTTGGTTTAAACTTGTTGCTGCCACTTACTAGGGCAAAGAACTTGACTGAGTCCTGTAAGATTTGTAACTCAAATTATTTTCCCCTTTGAAATGGGTCTGATCATGGTATTTGCCTTATGGGAAGTTGTTGCAGTCGAGTGAGATAACACTTGTATAAAGTTCTTCGATCAGTGAGCAGCACAGTGCCAGGGCACAATAAATACTCTTAAGATTTCACTGTAGAATTTTTTTTTTCCAGAACTGGGGATTGAACTCAGGCCCTTGCGCTTGCCAGGGAAGCACTTATTCCACTGGACCATTTCCCCAGGCCTCACTATAGAATTTTAAAAGTCCAGTATCTACGCTTCTATGGACCCCCAACCTCTACAATGAAAGGACTGTGCTTTAGTCACCTTTCAGCCTCATCACCTAGCTGGCAGCATAAACAGAGAAGCAAGGAAATACATGATTATGGAATTATATTGGGAACTAGCAATGACATAGAGGGAGCAGGAGATTGTTCAGCATTTGTTATTGGCCGTCTCATATGCTTCCTGTGTGAGAAGGGGGTACTTGTCTGTGTTCCTGGCTGAAAGGTGTTCTTTTCTAGTTTCTACCACACCATCCTTCTCAGTTCTGGTGGTGTGGCTTGATGACTCAGAGGGTGCACATGGGTTTTGAAATCTTTATGGCCCCAATTGCCATATTAATGGGCAGGAAGAGAGATTTTCTACTCTGATATGAGGATGCAACTTTGAACCCTGGAACTGCAACCTGACACACCTTTCCTATGGTTGAGCCAGATTGTCTCCACAGGAAAAACATAGCTTTACTTGGACTCACAGTGATTCTCCTGTCTCAGCCTCTCCATTGTGTGGATTAGAGGTGTGTGCCACTATGCCCGGTTTCAAGGCCAGCACAGTGTGTCCAGGGTTCTGGGGCTGGCATGGCATGGTACTGGAGATTGAACTCAGGTCCTTATGCTTGCCAAGTAGGCACTTAGATTACCTTGCTATCTCCCCAGCCCCCAGCCTTGCTCTTGATGTTTCTGACTGATGCAGGTTTCAATGTGATCAGCTGCAGGGTTGACCTTCCTGAGAACAAAGTTATGGAGGAAGTTTGCTGTTCATCAGTAGCTTTGCAGCAAGTACAATTCTTACCTTGGGCCAACCATGGTGACACATGGACATCTGTACCCAACTCCTATGCTCCACCTTCTGGAGGAGTTAATGGAAGTGGACAAAATGTAGAAAAGTAGATGGCAAGAAGAGATCCCAAAGGAAGTTAAACTAGGATAAAGCAGATGGTTAGAAGTCGGTGAGTTAAGAATGCTTTTGTCAGTGCCTGCTTAGACAAGCTTAGGCAAAAGTGCAGGGACTGAGATTCAATTCTTGGCACCACATGCCATGTCAGCCCCACACCCAGGATATACTGAGCCAGCCACAATAAATAAATAAAATAAGAATAAAAAAAGAAAGGTTTTGTCTACAATTAACTGGAAATAAGACTTGCCTCTTAAATAAATAGAGGTTTATTTTCCTCCAGTATCAAGAAGTCTGAAGTAATCTTTTGGGGCAGGTTAGCAGTATCTTGATGTTATCATACTATTGAATTTCTTTCTCTCTGCCTTACCATCTTTTGAACTGCTTTGTATCTTCATGGTTCATAGTAGCAGCACCATTTGCAGATGTGAGGTCCATTGTCTCAACCAGTAGGACACAAAGAAGGACAATACCAACCACATCTATCCCCTTTCAATAAGAAAACAAAAGTCTGAAACCGCTAAATCCTCCATGCTCTGCAGACTTCCTTCTTGTTTTATGAAACAAAAGCGGGTGACTTGGCCACCATCTAGCTGCAAAGGAGCCTGGGAAGGAGCTGCATGAGCTTCCCAGTCTCCATGGTGGGAGGTAGCAAAGGAGAGAGGTTGCAGTGACCCAGGGACAGCTAATTGGAGTAGCAGCCAGAACTCTGTTGCAAGGATCAAATTCAAAGCTTTCTGTTCTTATTATTGGCTTTTATCAGATAACAGTATCAATTTAGTCAAGATTCAACGAAGAAGAGACATGGTATGGGACTTTTCCTCCTGCACTCACATACTGGCTATTTTGGGTGATTCCCAGATGGCATTTATATGACCTGCGTGTGCTTGCTCTCACTAAACAAGTGGAAGCAAATTTTCTTTTCTCCACCCAGGCTTTACCTTTTTGGTTTCATTCCATCAAATTGCCTTATGCTTCTGATTCTAATTTAACTCACCTCTGTCTTACTCCACAAATGGGAGACCCAAAGAACTACCTACCCAGGAAAGAGAGAGGCTTGGCCAGCATCTAGCCTGGGACAGGAGGTCCCTGGTCCTAGAGGGCATCCCTCCAAATGGCTGGCTGTCCCTCCACTATCCTGCTTCATTCTGCCTTGCATCTGGGAAGGTGGAGGTGGCAGGGCTGCTGCTGAATGCTTTTCTCTACAGGGTTGGGAGTGGTAGGAGTCACACCCCAGAGAACATTCCCATTGTGGTAGGCTTTCCCTCTGGGTTGTCTTGGCTGCTTTTGCACCCTCTGGTGGACAGGAGCACATAGTAGCTAAGAGGGCAAGTTTCAGAGATCCAGATTCGATTCCTTCCTTCACCCATGACCTGGGCAATTACTTCTCTATATCTTAGTCTCATTACCTGTAAATGGGGCTGATGGAAGCAATTTACTCTGATAGTCTTGTATACCAGCTTCAGGGTGCTTAGAACAGAGCCTCATACTTGCCAAGAACAAAATCTACTTACTACCTCAACTGCTCCTACTGTTCTCCAGTCTGATTTGAGTGATTACAGAGGTGGATTGACTTTCAAGTATAAGATCTTTGGATTTTTGAAAACTTGTATGGCCCCCGCTTGAAAGAAATAAACTGTGTGATTTTGTTACCTTTTCTAAGCAAATATGAAATATTTAATGTTAGAGTAGCAAGCTTTTCTTAGTTTCAGTTTCAATTCAGATTCGTATTTGATAGTGATAACTGGGGAGAAAACATTGGCAATTCATGTAGAAAACAAAGAATGATATTCCTGATGTACAGAGAATGCCTGTAATCAGTGAAAGGAAGAAAAATGAGTAGAGGTATTGTAGGTTGGTATAAACAGGCAATTTATATATGTGAAAACTAGAATGTCCAATAAATGTCTGAAAAGATAATACAACTTTGTCAATAATTAGATAAATAAAATTTAAATCAGAAAAAGATTCATATTTAACCAAAATTTAACTATGTGCCAAGTAAGCATTCTACTAATCAACCATCCCCCCCATAAATTCAACTGTCCTTGAGGTGACTGAGCACCAGAGTGCTCAGAATTTGCCATGAATGCCCTCATAAAATAATAGTGGCAAGAGGTGTTTTAAGAAGCTGATATAACCCCTGCAGACTTAGAAGGTGGCTCAGTAGTTTACTCACGGCTCTAGGCCTCATTGTTATGTGGAGGGGCCGATAAATTTCTGACCAGGTTCTCCAGGGGCAACATGAGAAGAACAGTAGAAGCCAAGGAAGCTCTTCTCATGTGGTAGTCTTTACCACAATGGAGCCCTTTCTATTTTGATCACATTTTCTGTTTTCAGCTATGATGGAGTATTATCTTTCAGGGACTGTTTCTGGAAGCTCTTATGTATATTTGTAATAGATGCTAAGTTTTTCTCTTTCCTTGTTGACAGACGGTGGGAAATGGCCAAGACGGGAAATTTAGTGGACCCCTGAAGCCCATGACATTTCCCATTTACGAAGGCCAAGAACAAAGTCAAGTCATATTCCAGGTAAACACTACCCTTGATCATTGTCATCCTGATTTCTCAGAATGTGAGTAAGCTTTTACTCCCTTCTATGCTATACAACGGGAAATAATAGAGGCACGGCGAATCTATGCATCAAAGATTTCAGAAGCTAAGTCAAACACAGACGGGTGGTGCCGTATCATGAGTCACACCTGACATGCACATCTGGACTTCCTCAATCATGTGTGGGGCAAGGGCTTCTATCCTGTCCTACGCAGAGAGCCTGGTGTCTGTCGGCCCTGGAGTGGAAAGGGCCCTGATATGAAAGGCTGACTGCTCAATGAGCTTCCTCATGAAGCATTGGAAGGTGGGGTTTCTCTGGAGCTGGGGATGGATGGGCCTCTGTCTGTGGCCAAAGGTCTGCCTTTTCCTCACAGGTAGCTCTGAGTGCAGGCCTGGCCCTCATTGATGGGATGCATGGCATGAGGTGAAGCCATCTTCTTAGCAGTTACATAACTGGGGAGGCATTAGCTGGAGAGATGGCCCACAGGTGGATGAGAGACTGCAGCTTTTAGGGAACTGGACTAATGCTGAGAATGTAGCAAGAATGGAGAATGTCCCACTGCATTTACCACACATCCCCTCTGGAAGCTGCTAGGCCCCAGAGTGTGGAGGAGACCTGATGAGCCGCTGGGGTTGCTCATGTCCCTCCCCATGCCAAGCACCAGAGAACAACACAGGGTTCCTGCATGATCTTCTAAGGTAGATGCCGCATGTCTGTCTTGCAAGTGGTTCCCATCTGCAGAGGGTAAGCTATGAGCTACTTCAGGTCTCTCTTCCCAGTTGGTACCAGATGAGCACAAGTAGGAGTGGCAGCTGCACGTGCACATCTGTCTGTCCATCCAGAAGTTAGTGGGCTCTTGGCCTCTCTGCCCAGAGAAGTCAGCCCTACATAGGGAGTGAACACATCAAGAGCTGGAGGCTGACAGAAGGGAGAGGAGAGTGTTCAGAGACACAGCAGGGACAGCTGGCCATGTTGGGATGCGACAGGGCACCAGCTGTGGAATCCCAGAAGGCCACATGGCTGGGCAGGATAGAGCCAGGAGAAGGTGAAGAGGAGGCTGCAGAGACCAGAAGCCCTAATCCTGAGGTGCTATGGTTCTCCCCAAAGGATGGGTCTGATTCAGGTTTCCTCTCAGAGCCCTATGGCCATAGCTGGAGGGGCAGGAAGGGGGCGGGTTCCCTGAAGAGGTGACTTCCTCCTTGACTTCTTCTCTGCCCTGCTGGGAGTGCTTCACCGTAGGTTCTCTCTGACATGTTTTCTTTCTTTCATTCGTGAGCTATTCTCCATAGGTTGGCATGAACTTCATTTTTACACTGCAATTTTTTTTTTTTTTTTTTTTACACTGCAATTTTTTTAAACCACAAATGGAGCGCCCCTTGTACAGGAGGCTCTACCCTGGCAGAAAGGACATGGGTCCAAAGGTGAAAGCTAACAAGGAAACCAAAGCTAATACATGCGCAGAGGATTCTGAGGGAAGTCTGGTAGGCAAAGGGCAAACAAGGAAAGAGGATCTGAGTCTGTTTTTAATTTTTATTTATTTATTTTTTATGTATTTAGTACAAAGCCTACAGGGCCTCACTGCACAGATCAGACTCTTAGTGATCCTCCTGCTTTTCAGCCTTCCAAGAGCTAGGATTACAGGCACGTGCCGCCATGCCCAGTCTCAGTTGCTGTCTCAGCATTCCCTGGGGGCCGTGCCGGCAGGGCACACTGGGGATCGAACCCTGTCCCTGCGTCAGCCTAAGCAGGTGCTGTAGTCTGCTGAGCTATCTGACTGGCCTTCTGTTTTTTAAATTGACAAAACCTGTACATGTTTGTTGTGTGCAGATTTTTTTAAAATACTCATTGTGGAATGGCCACACTGAGCAAGTCCTGACTCACTTCTCCTTTAGATTTTTTTTTTTTTTTTTTTTTTTTGGAGGACAGATGTATGCTAAGTGTTGCCTCAACCTCCCAGAGTGCTGCGATTACTGGCATGCACCATCAGTGCTTGGCACGTTTACATTTCTGTCAGCGTTGTAAAAGAGCTCTGATCTTTATATGTCCTCAATATTTACTATGTCTTTTTTATTGTAGCCATCCATGTGTCTATGAAGCAGTATTTATTTGTACGTTTGCTTTGGGTTTCCCTAATAACTAATAGTGTTGATCTTTTCGTGTGCCTCTTGGCTCACTCTCTATATTCGCTGGTTAAATGCCTACACAAATATTTTGTCTATTATTTAATTGGGTTGTTTGTCTTTTTTGTTGTTGTAAGAGTTCTTTAGATATTCTGCCTGCAAATCTTCCTTTTGGAAATAAATCATTAATAAATATTTTCTCACATTTTTAAAGTAAATTTTTTAAAAACTTTCTTAATAGTGCCCTTTGAAACACAAATACTTTTTTTTTTTTTAAATGTATTTGGTTGTTGCAGGGGCTCAGTATGCAGCTTGGACTTGTAGTGATCCTTCTGTTTTCAGTCTCCCCAGTGCTGGCATTACAGGTGTGCACCACTTCACTTGGACTCTGGTCTGTTCAGACTGCCCTGTGGGCAGGGCTGGCGTGGCATGTGGTGGCGGGGATCGAACTGTGGTCGCTGAGCTTGCCTAAGTGTGCCTAAGCAGGTGCTTTAGTCCTCTGAGCTATCTCACCCACCCCTGAAACACAAATACTTTTAATTTTTTTTAAATTTTTTTAATTGTTTTATTTGAGAGAGAGAGAGAGAGAGAGAG